AGTCTGCCATAGGAAAGTCAAGAGCATATTGAAATGTTTTCTATGAGGTATTAGTGATAGAAAGCCTTCTGTCCCTAGAATAAGGGTAGGTTGGTATCAATAGAGACTCTTAAGAAACTCTGTAAGAGCAGGATATGGAGATGATATGAGCTAAAGGCAAGTTGAGTCTATGGCCAAAGTAAGCTACCCATATGCATCAACATGTTATAACCCCCCTCCAGAAGAACCGTAACAGCAGTGCAGGCTTATACAGAAGATCCCAGCCATCCCAAGTCCTCACAACAAAGTCAACCCATACTCTGGCCACTGAGGCAAGAAAAACAAAATTTATTTTTAAAACGTCCTCAAAAAATGAATAAAGGGGCAGTGAAGGTACTTACTGCCAAGCCTAATATCCTGAATCCAGTATCTGGGACTCACATAGTGGGAGAGAACCAATTCCTACTAGTTATCTTTTGATTCCATAGCATGACACACATGTGCATACACAGAGAGAAATAAATAAATGAAAACTCATGAAAAATGAGTCACAAGTGTTCAAATACATAATGGCATATAACTATCAGTTGGAAAGCTCCCTTACACAGGAGAGCCTATTCCTTGCCTTGGTAAGTTAAGCATTGCTCTGTGTTCTTTGTTATGAATTAAGTGCGAGAGAAGAAAGCGGGTATGACAGAGATTGTGGCTGGGGGAGGGAGTGAAAAAGGACTGCCAGAGGAGCTGAGGTTTAGAACTTAACAATAGCTCATCCAATATTACTTTGTAAGTGTATTCTCAAAATTGAATTTCAAAAAAAATAAGAAGGGAAGGTCATGACTGCTTCTAGGTATGGTGGAGGAGAAAGTTTATGGTAGATAAAAGGGAGGACATAGGAAAAAGCAGGGACAGGGACATCTGGGAGAATTCTGAGTGGACATGACCAGACTGAGTTGGCTTATGTGAGGAATGGAGGAGGGGAAAGGAGAGAGGGGAAGCAGGTGCAGCAGCCAGGAGACCAAAGGTGCAAAAAGGGGTGAATAACCAAAATGTCTGGATTATGTAGGGAAGAACCTTTGGGAGAGGGCAGCCCAGCCCCTGGGTTGGAGAGTTCAGGTAGAGGGCAGGATATGCCAGCCATACCCTGTAACAGGTAGGAACTGAGGGAGGCTGGGAGAACCAGGAGGCCAGATCTGTTTTGATATGTTAAATAGACACCTCAGACATTTGTCCAGATGTTTGAAACTTAGCAGAAATTAAACCAGCCTCACTCCGAAGGATGGAGAAATTAAGATATTCAGAAAAAAACAGATTGGAGGATTTATTCCCATTGTGACTACAATGTCTTTTGTTCTGCATGACATCTCTTGTCTTGCAAACTAGCAAGATCCCTGGATTTGGCAAGGATCCTCCTCTGTGAAGCATTTTCAAGTTAGGGGTTTTAGCAATGTCAGATTTCTCAAAGGCTGTAATAAAGAAAAAGTGGAAAGTTGGGGAGGACAACAGTGCTACAGAGTTCTCACCTACAGCACGATAACCTCTCAGCTGGAAGATGCAGGCCATCGCCTATTCAGCCAAGTCAGGGACTTCGAATTAGACAGTCTTAAACCTCGCCTTATTAACAGATAAGAGTTGAGATAACCCCCCTTTACCCTATTCATGTACAGTGGTATTTTCTGTTTATACATGGAGAGCATATTGTATAGTTCTTGATATGTTTTATAATGTACAGAGTGAGGCCAAATGATGCCTTCAACGGTAATAGAAGACACTATTGCCATTTTAACTAAATTGTCCACTTGAGGGAAGAAGAGTAAAGTTGATGATTTTGAATACTTAAGATACATCACTTTGCCACTGGTGTAGAACCTGTAATTATGTGCAATTCCCTGCTTAAGAATCTTTAGTTATGCTGAACATTGAAAAAAACTAAATAATGGGGAGGAGAAAAGAAGGGAGTTTTAAGCACTCGACACAAGATGTTCATTTAAATAGAGACATTGCCTTACCAGAAGGGAGCAGTTAAGGGTCTGGCTGTCCCACTGGCATGCTATTATCAAATCTTCATCTTTAAACCATGGATTTGCAATCCTTCTAAATCTTCATTATTATTTTGAAATCAAGACTGGTTTCTTCTGTTCACAAGGCATGATTGTTTTTCATTGATATCTTTTTAATGCTCTGACTTTTTTGCTCTCTGAAAAAGGTAAGTCTTCAAACCTTGAACCTAGACCTTTTTTTTTTCTCACCAAACCCATAACATGATCGTTTCCTATCCCTGACATGGCACTAGCAGATAAGAGAACATGCCTTTCCCAATTAGAAGCATATTATGATTTTCATCAGGACTAGGAATGTAGTTGTAGACCTCATTTAAGACATGTTCAGCATAAGTCATTACAGACTTTTCTTTGATTCTGTTCGGGAAGTGTGCTCTGAAACCCCAAACTGACAAAGAGAATGCTTTTTGGTGGCCAAGTCAGGTGTCCCATAGAAAAAAGACATCCTCCAAGTGAGAGAAACAGAAGCCAGAGACAGGATGATTATAGAGGTAGTGGTTACTCTTTCCGTCTGTGTCCAAATACCTGAAGAAAGCAAGTCAAGGAGGTTTAATGGTGAGGACAACATGGCTGTGGGGCTCCATCCACATAGAAATTTGTGGCAGGTCTCCTACATATATTTCAGTAGATCAGGAAGGACAATACAAGTGAGGAGAGGCTCTATCTAACACATAAGACCTAGCTAGGTCCCATCTCCCCTAAAGTCCCTGGGAACTGAGTATTTGAATAATTACAGCTATAGGGGCCATTTCACATTCAAACCAAGCACAGGGTCTTGGTCTTTTTTGATTTCTAGTGACTTCGTCCACACCTTATAGTGGAAATGAATTTACATTTTAAAAGATGTGATAGTATAAGCCTTTAATCCCAGCACTCAGGAGCAGAGCTCCGAGTTCCAGACCAGCCAAAGCTACACAGTAAAATCCTGCCTCAAGTAAGTAACTGGGGAAGGAGAGACAAATCCAAAGATGAGTGTGGTAGTCAGCTTTCTGCTATGGTAATAGCACATCTGAAATAACACACTTAAAAGAGGAAAAGCTAATTTTGGTTCATAATTTTGGAGGTTTTAGTACATCGTTAGTTGATTCTGCTGTATTTGGGCCAACAGCAAGGTACTACTATATAGATATAGGGTGTGTATAGCAAAGTTCTTGCCTCATAGTGGCCAGGAAACAAAAACACAGGAGTCCAAGTTCATAATGGACTCTCAAGGATGTGCTCCCAACGAGTTAACTCTCTCCCACTGGGCCCTATCATGTAGAAAGTTACATCAATTCCCAATATACCATGAGCTAATAAAAAGCCTGTAATATATGAACAAATCACAGAACTATTCAGAATTAATGGAAAACAAAGCTTGAGGTTCTCCCTGGTGAAACTGCTTGGGACTAGGAGGAGACAAAGTCTGAGGGTCTCAAAGAGCTGAGAAATTAAAGAAAATGGGTCAAGCCACTGACTGATGCAACAGCTGGAGAAAGAATGTGCCCTTGGTACCAAGGACATTTGTGCAAAAATCACACAAAAGTGGCCTCTTGCCAAAACTAGTTACAAAGCAGATTACGTGACAGTCAAGTTAATTGTTTACTCATGGTTTCCCACACAGTCAGTGGCAACCATTTTAACTAACTCATTTCAGATATCCATGTTATTTAAACCTTTATCTGAACCTTTTAGTCTTTTCCCTCTTTATTTCCACAGCAGTCTTTGATTGGAAGAATGCCATTGCTTATGCGAGTCTCCCTGGTTTGAAGCTGTGATGCCAGCCCTCAAAGGTGACTGCTTATATATATTCTTCTCATCTGAGACTGCCGTCATTTAGCTCTGCTGGCAACTGTCATTGTGAATGACCTGTAATCATTGTTCACTGACAGGCTCAGGTGAGCACATCTCACTGAGGGGTGTCCTAAATGGTGCAGCCTGCTTGGTAAACTCCGGTAAGGCATCTTTCTTGGACGCTGTTCTCAAATTCTACAGACAGCAGTCAGTGCCCTTGCAACACCTTCCAAAGCCCATAAGGGATGCACTGACAGATCCCCAGAGGGCATACCAGCATTCACTGGAAGGAACTACTTCTATTGTTGCTCACATCTGGCTGCCTCTCCTCCTAATGGAAAACACAGGTAAGGCCTGATGTGATTAGAGAAACAGCAGCCCTTTTCTCCCCTGTGTTTGTGAGGTCTTGATTTCCCATCTTCCCTACTGAACACTTGTAAGGGAAAGTTTAAATGTGTGATACACAGCCCATGCTTTTCAGAGTCTGCACCCTTATTAGAAACAAATCAAAATTATACTTAAGGACACCTGTTGATGAGGACTGAGCCAAATAGTCTCAGTGTGGGTGGTGGATGGGAGGTGTTGCCCAGGCAGTAAATCCAAGTTGCTCACACCAAAGGCAGTGTTTCTAGGGAAGCTATCTGGGTAAGTGGTAAATACTTAGTCATTTAGGACAGGCCATAAATGGCCAGTTCATCAACAAGGGAAGGTCTGTTTTCAAAGTGCTCACAAAATGGTAGGATGCTATTTCCTCTTCAGCCCACCCTTGTTTAAAAGTGTAAAGGTTTCTATAATCAAACCTTGGTTGGCAAGGCGTTAAACAGCTACAGTTTGGTTGCTAGGTGTCATTTGAACAATATTTTTTGAACTATGATTCTAAATAACAAATCAAACTGGATCCAATCCCCTGTGAAGTCTGAGATGGTGAGGTAAGCACCTGGGCTTTTCCCCTACTCCCCAGTGTTGGTGGGTTTTATAATTCTGCTTCTTAGCTGTCTTGTCACGTCTGTCTCCTTCTTTCAATCCATCTCTCACTCACACCTTTCAATAACCTTTCTCGCTGATCTCTCACCCCATCAACTACCCGTCTGCAACAATCCTTTCAAAACCACTGCTGATAAACGTATGGCTCCCCTGCGGGGGGGGAGAGAGAGAGAGAGAGAGAGAGAGAGAGAGAGAGAGAGAGAGAGAGAGAGAGAGAGAGAGAGAGAGAGAGAGGAAACCAAATAATTCTGGGATTCAGGGTGTCATCTAGACCCCACCTACTGTCTGCTTTGTGTGTCCTAAACTCCATTTATTCCATCTAATTTGCCTTTGCATGACAGCACCACCTACCACTTTTATGTCACTTTTGAGATGACTCAACTCTACCCAATATACCTTAAAAGTCTCCTTTTGACCCAGCTCAAATGCTACTTCCTTCACAGCATTTCTACTACCTTTCTTATATATAATGCATATTAATAATCACTCCTTCCTTTAGGAGTCCTCTCTCTCTCTCTCTCTCTCTCTCTCTTTCGTTCTCTCTCCTTCCGTTCCTCCCCTCCCTCCCTCTCCCTCTCTCCTTCTCGTCCTCCCTTCCTCATTGAAATATTCTAAAACTACATAATTTACTCATTTAAAGTATCAAATTTAGTAGTTTTAATGTAGTCAACACATTTGTACAACTATTAAAATTAATTTGAAGATTTTCATCACCTTTCAAAGAAAGCCCATATTCACTAGATGCCAGTTCATAGTCTTGCTTTCTTTGTCCAGCCTGAGGCAACCATATATTTGATTATATTTGTCCATTATTCTGGACATTTCATACTAGTGGCATTGATAATATGTACTCCTTGTGTCATTTTTTACACTCCTTGTGGATGTTTTTTACTTAGCATAATGTCTTCCAGGTCCGTCCATGTTGTGGCATGTAAACTTACTCCATTACACCTCCTTATGACTTTTGGTAGTAATAATTTGTGCTTGGGATCAAACCTTATGCAAGCTAGATGTGTGTAACTCTACCATGGATTTACATCTGCAGCCCCTTTTTATTGTTCGTGACATTTATTTATGCTTTACTGGATTATGGACATTTGAGTTGTTTCTACTTTAAACAGTTATGAAGAATGCCTACCTAACACAGTTTTACTTTTTGTTAACATTTAATGTGTGTCTTAATATTCTAGGATGTTTTGTGTCCTATTTTTTATTTGGTTTTACCTATAACAATAGCAAGAATTTAATACATGTTTGACAGGGAGGTGCATGAACAGGTATTATTGGTTCTCCTTATGTAGATTTCTGAAGGAACACAAGGTACTTAGAGTTAAAACATTAAAGTAAACCAAATAATAACTAAAGACTACATCAGTGTAGTTACCCAGTAAATTACAAATCCCAAAGACTGATGGTTCTCAAATAAACCTTAATCTCTGCATGACTTCCTGGGACAACATGCGGTTATCTTAATTATTTCATGCATGTTGTTCCTTTGCTGATCATACCTGTGATCTAGTTTGATGGAGGCCTGAAGACACCAGTCTTCCTTCCCTGAATTGAACCACAGTGTTTTGTGCTTAGACTTAGCCTATGATTGAATTTTAGAGTGGTGGTTCTTGATTCTGGCTGAGCATCAGACCTCTTTCTGAAACTCCCAGGTACAGGTAATCTAGTTCCCACCCCTTCCCCAGCTTAGCGTCTAGAAGCTCAGAAAGAGCCAGATATTCACATGCTCTTAAAAATGTGGACATGTAGACATTTCTGGTTTGAGGATAACTGTCTGAAAGCCAGCCTGCAGTTTAAAAATCTTCATCTTACAGAGTGCAAGCTCCATAGTCCTGAACAGTACTTTACTCATCCTGAGATGATGCTACTACTAAGGCTACCTCCCACTTATAAGCCCATTTTATTTGGAAAGAGTTTGCAGTCATCTTTTATTAGCTAGACTCACATGCTGGGTGACCTTGTACAAATCACATAATCCTTTTGTGTCTTGAATTTCCTCATATGTAAACTGTAGGTGGTAATACTGACTCACCCTCAAGGGGTACCGTGGAGACTAATGGAGACCTATAAAGCAGTCACCAAACACAAGAATGTCCCATGCATGCTTATTAGACAGGTATGAAGTCTAGTCACAGACTTTTTAAATGAGACAAATAGCAAAAGAAATACTTAAGTAGGCCTTCCTGCAGCCTTTATCATCATTTGAAACATCACTTCCCAGCACCAACGTATAGCAATTCCTTCTTACTACCAAAAACTAACAAGCAGACACAAATTATGGTAACAGGAAGACAATGCAGTAAATAAGTTTAAAAAGAAGCCCTGAGATCAGTTTGCTAACTGTCTCTTATCAGCATAAGGTGCGACTTGTGATTATGCCTATAAACACACACATAGGGGGAAAAACATTTATACATGTTCGCACAGCTCCTTCAGTTGGTACTTCTTGATGTTCTTTACTGATATCTTCTGTATAACAACAATAACCTCATTTCTCCCATGTGACAGAAACAAGATGTGGTCAAATGAGACCTTCACCTCTGTTTCACAATGGGACTGGGTGTGAATGAGACAGAACTGTGTAGCCTGGGAATCCGGATAGGTATTATAAACATGTTGGTCCACAGCTAAGAGCTCATTTGTGTGTGTACAGCTTCTCAGAAGAAAGAGAACAAACCTGGTTTTTAACCTGTATTTTAAATTTTCTCTACATTTTACCTTGAAATGATCACTGTTTAAAGGGCCAGGTTCACTTTGCATCCACAGCTGAATGTTTCCTGTGACTTCGCACACTAGCTAAGATGATCCAGGATCCAGGCCTTCCTAGCACATGAGCTTGATCTCACTCTTACCTCTTTGGGTCCTCAAGTTTAGGTTGAATTCCTGAGGACAGTTGGTTTCCTTGGTTAATGTCAAGATTTGTAACAATTAAATTCTATGTAATAAATATTTTTGAATCCTAACATCTGTGGGCAATACCACAGTCCTTGCTTTGGAGGCTACCCTGAGTTCTTTGAGATGCCTCAGTGTTCCTGTAATTTGGTGACCTTCACTTATAAGAACACCAGGCTCCCACAGACACCCCCAGGATTTGGTTGGCTAATATGCCAGTTTTATGTGGATTCCTAGACTAACCTTTGACAATAGGCAAGTTGAAATATACTTTTCATTTTTCACCCTGTGACAGCTTTTAGAACCTGATCTGAAAATAAGAGAAGTCAGAGACCAGTCAAGTCCAGCTCCTTAGGCCTACCCACAGGCTTGAAATTCATATATTTTATTTGGGCATTTAAATGACCTGGAAAACCTATTCCTTTGCTACCTTCTGTTCCCTTCCCCACAATGACTGCTAGAGCTGGGCATTCTCCTGTATTGTATTAAATTATTTGCTCATCTTAAAACCCCTGTGCCATTCCCACAACCCACAGCCCCCATTTGTCAAGTGGCTTTGAGTTCCACTGTCTCCAGGAATCTTAGCAAACTCTCACTTCCTCCTCCTCTAAACTATGGTCCTTTCTCAACAGGGCACTCCTTATTGACAGATCACTTCCTGATCCAGCAGAATGCAAGTTCCTATAAGACAGAGGTCACACATAAGGTACCCATGTGTGTGCACCACTACCACACAGACTTTGGTGTCTTGCTAAGAGTAAGTAGTACTGAATAGGCATCTGATTGAATGAACAATTTTTCACCCTGCCCTTATTGTGCTTTTGGACAAAACCCCTTGCCTCTTTCATTCTCAGATGCCTTTGCTATGAACAGAGGATAACAGCACAGGCATACTCCCCAGGTGTGCAGGAAGAATAAACCAATGACTGAAAAGCAATTTAAAATTGTAAAATGAGATGCTATATATAAATGTTACATAATCAAAATCCTTTCCCTCTGTATTATGTTTTATTTGGCTTTATATCTTCAAATCCTTTGTGGGTTTCAGGATTTCACAGATGCAATACCATTCACATTAGTACCTAGATTCTCCTGGGTAATAAACAATTTTGTGTATTATAGATCACATCTACTTTTCCTTGGCACACTTACACATGAATCTGTCATAATTTAGGGTATTCATAATAACTAATGATACAATTCATTTCGAGGGATAATCCATTTTTTCAATCTTTGACTGGCCATTTTATTCCAATAGGGTTGCCTCCAGGGAACTAGCTTCCATGAATCTAAAATCTGGGTGATGAACATAGATTTTTTAGAAGCCTAAATCTTCTAGGAGCTTTACAATGAGACCTGAAAATGGCTTTGGTTTTAAAAGCACTGTTTGTTTTCTATGGCCTTCTTTATCTCCGTTTTGATTTGAGTGTCACCAAGCTGTCATTGCAATGTGATAACCTAGGCATTAGGAAAGATATGGATTAGGTCTTTCTACAGGAAAACAGAGCAGTGGTAGGTTAAGATGATTTTTTCTTCCTTGATGTGTTCAAGAGGTTGCCAGTAGAAAAATAAATTACCCTATATTATCTCTAGTTCCTATAAAGAGCTTTGGACCTGTAAGTACACAGCCTACTATTATCCCTATAGTAGTTTTTCAACTTAGAAATTCTGAAGAAGAGGAGATGACAGTGATAAGACAAACTTTTCTTGGGATCAATGGAGTTCTCACATGTTAAAGTAGAATATAGTATTTAGTAAGTAATCAGTAAGTATTATCAATAGAGGGCCTTCCATAAGCCTCGTCCTGTGCTAGCTCTCAATTCAAGCTTCATAACAAGCTAACAGGGCAAACCTAATTACCTCCACACTCCCAGTCTCAGCAATAGGATTTTCAAAGAATGGAATTTCTTCACATAGTAAGAAATTCTTCCAGTTTTAATTCTGTTTGTGACAGTTAATTTTATGTGTCAAATTCACCAAACCACAGAATAGTGAGATTAAACATTATTTCTGGATCTTTCTATGGTGATGTCTTGGTTAGTTTGACACAAGCTATGGTTATCTTGGAAGGGGAACCTCAGTTGAGAAACCACTTCCATCCAACTGCCTATAAGCAAGGTGGTGGGGCATTTTCTTGATTAATGATTGATATGGGAGACCCAGCCCACTATGGATGTCACCCCTGGGCAAGAGGTCCTGAGTTGGATAAGAAACAAACTAAGTGAGTCATGGGAACAAGCCAGTAAGGAGTGTTCCTCTGTGGTCTCTGCTTCAGTTCCTGCCTCCAGATTCTGGACTTGAGTTCCTGCCCTGACTTCCCTGCATGATGGACTACAATTGTAAGCTGAAATAAAGAGGTTTCTGGGGGAGAGTAGCATTTTAACAGGTGTATTCAGTAGACTAACTCCCTAATGTGAGCATCACCCAATCTGTGCAGGATTGAAAAACACAAGAAGAAAAATCCCAGTTTTGCTTCCTGCCTGCCTGCTTGAGCTGGAACGCCCATTTCTTGGCTTTAGACAGCCTTCTCTATCACCAGCTCACCTGGTTTTTCAGGGAGTGAAGTTAAATCACTGGCTCTCTTGGGTCTCCAGCTTACAAAAAACAGATTAGGGTACTTTTTGGCCTTCATAACTGAGTCAGTTTCTCATAGTGAATTTCTGCCTGTGTATGCATTTATAGATCACATAGGTTCTGTTGCTCTCTGGAGAGCCCTACAGTAGATTCCATCCTCCCCATATCCACCCTGAGCATATCCCTTTTACAATGGCTGCCTAACCCCTCAGGGTTACTCATTTCATTATGAAGTTTTTTGTTTGGTTGGTTTTTGTCTCCCCCCCCCAAGGTTGTTTTTTTTTTTTTTTGAGATAAGGTCTCATTCTCATTATGAAGCCCTGGATGTCCTGGAGCTCACTATTAGACCAAACTGACCTCAAACTCACAGAGATCCACCTGACTCTGTCTCCTGGGTGCTGGGATTAAAGGTGTGCGCCACTCTGCCTGACTTCATTAAAACTAGAAGTGTTTGTTTTGAATTTCCCCTGGTAGATTCCTGACCATCTTGTGTAGTTTTATACCAGGTCATCGTTTTTCAAGATCATTAGAGTCTTCCATCAAGCTCGTCCTCAGTGGTATAAATTTTTAAGAAATTCAACATAATTTTTCTTCTGAGAATGTATGTTGAAATCCCAAGTGTTTATGAAACAAAAATGCTCTTCCCTACCCATTTCTGTTAGCACATTTTATCTCGGTTGGACCTGTACCAATCTATCTCTCCAATGGAGAAGTTGCTTTGACATCCAAGTAGAAGATTACATTGTCTTGTGCGTGATAACACACAGGCTGAAGATGCTGTGCCATCAAAATCTCTTCCAAAAATATATTCTAGTTGATATGTACAAACAAATACCATACTTCCATTTTTCAAAAACACCTCTATGATATTTTGTGGCCTACACAGAAATTAATATCTCAGACTACTTTGTCATTAGTTATCCCTCCCATCTGTATGAAATTGGTCAGAAATATCACTGCATTGTCATTCATGGGAAACTACTAATGAAGTTGATGATTTGTTCAAGGTTTCAGAATGATTCCCAGGCAAAGATGATTTTAGAGTGTCTAGCTTCTGGCAGGAATTTATAAATGTCTGCATTTCCTTGCAAAATATTTTGGATGGTCCTTTTTAAAGTGTGAACAGTTTTCAAAGTAAATCTGTGTTAAAAGGGATGGTGGGAATGGAAGAAGGGGAAATATAGTCTTTAGTTAAGCAAATTTTTCAGCTCTAGCTCTGCTTCAACTCTTTCCATTTTGCATTCTCTCCTTTTAAAAGCGCGCGCGCGCGCGCGTGTGTGTGTGTGTGTGTGTGTGTGTGTGTGTGTGTGTGTATGTGTGTGTATGTATCAAGATTCATGGGACTAGGCTCAATATAGGTTAAATCTAATTTTATTCCAGGAGAAGTCACTTACACAAGAAGCAGGTGACAGCCACAAGTTCCCACTCTAAGGATCCACACAGGATGCCCTCTGTGACCTGACCAGAAGCCAGAGAGCGCCACCTGTCCCAACCCCAGACCTAAACCCACTCCGTCCCATCCACACCTGTGACCACAACCATGGTCACAGGTGCGGGTAGGGTGGATATCTCACAACATGGTGGGGGTGGTGAGATGGGTAGCCATTTTATATGTGCCAACTTTGTGGAGCGGGTTCTCACCCTCCACTTTTCTGGGAATCAAACTCAAGTTATCATCAGGCTGTACAACAAGGACTTTTACCCGATGAGCACTCTTGTCAGTCCCTATAGTGTGTGTCTTAGTTTGCATTTCTCTTGCAGTGATAGGACCATAACCTAAAGCAACCTGGGAAGGAAAGAGTTTATTTGGCTTACATATCTCAAGCCACAGTTCACTGAGGGAAGTCAAGACAGAACCCGAATCAGAGACCATAGAGGACCAGTGCTTACTGACTTGCTCCCTTGCTTATGGGCTTACTTAGTTTATGTTCTTACATACCCCAGGACTACCTGCCCAGGCATAGCACTGCCCACAGTAGTCTGAGCCTTTCCATACCAATCATCAATCAAGACATTGTCCCACAGGCTTGCCTACAGGTCAGTCTGATGGAGGCATTTTCTCAGTTGAGGCTCTCTTCTCGGATGACTCTTGTGCTGACAAAACCTAACCAACCATTATGTATTCTCTCTAACATCTTTTGAAATACTTGGCAATCAAAGGATGGTAAAGGGCCCTTTCCCCTCATTTCCATTTATAGGACAAGAATCCAGTGAGATCTAAATAGATAGAAATTGCATGTGTAAGCAATTGTCTAGAGCACACTATTTCCCCTTTCAGCCTCACATTTTTCCCCCTTTTCAGCAGTCAGAACTACTATAAATGCAAAGCATTTGCAGTGCATAGTCACCATTGTCATGGGGTCTCCCTTGAGCAACTAAAAGCAGCAGGACAATTCTGCCAGCTGTTTTACAGCCAAGGAAGAAAGGTAAACAGAGGTTAAGTGACTGCCAGAAGCACTCACCATGGCAGCTGTTCAGATTGGAACTCATGGCTCTTACTAGTCACAGCCTGTTCAAGCGTTCTAAAGCATACCTTGTCAGAGAGGGACCGCACTGCCTAACCACAAATTTCCTTACCATCCACAATGGAAAAATCTTGCATCTGTGATTCTTCTCATTCTTTTAAAATGTGGTTTTTAGGATTTTATTCTTGAATACTGTATTTACTTCATTTCCACCCCTCTGCCAGCTCTGCCTGTGCCCTCCCCAGTCCCTCTCAAATTCATGACTTCTTAATTATTGTTAAAAATATATATGTATGTATATCTCCTGTTGAGTCCATTTAGTGTTGCTTATGTGTACATGTTTAAGGCTGACTGCTTAGGATTGGATAACCTATGAGGCTCATTCTGAAGAAGATTGACCCTGCTTCTCAAAGCAGCCACTAATTGCCTGTAACTCTTCATATGAGGGTAGGGCCTAATGAGATTCCTTCCTCCACATTAGCATGCCAAATGGCATTGTCATTGCAGGTTGTTGAGATTTTTATTGGCACAGCTCTCTGCCATACAGAAGAAACAATCTCACAGAAGATATTTTGATCCTCAGACTCTTCCAACTTTTCTGCCCCCTCTTCTACAATGTCTCCCAAGTCTTAGTTGTGGGATTTGCGATGTAGATGTATCAGTTGGGGTTGAGCATCCAATGGTCAGTTTTTCTCTGCATTTTGACCAAGTGTGGATGTCTGTAATTGTTTCCATTCACTGCAAAAAGCTCCTCTTATGAGGGTGAGAGGTCTACTTATCTGTGCGTGTAAGGATAAGTATTTAGAATGCTGTTAGAAATTGTACTGATTTGGGAAAATGGCACAGTGGGTTCCTTTTAGGGTCAATAACACTCACCAACCACAGGGGGTTGGATAGGTTTACAGTACCAGGCATGAATTCCCTTCTAATGAGTGGGCCATAAGTCCAATTAGCTTTTATTAGCTAGCCTATGGCTCTCTTAGGGTGAGCATTTTTACCTTTATAACTTTATATATATAGTTGCATGTATTTTAAAGTTAACATAAGATAATGTTTCCCTTTGGCATTTTCAAATATCTTTAGTGTTATTTATCTCTTCTCCATCCTTCTCCTGCTGTGTTGTCCTCCCTCCCCCCTTTTTAGTTAAATCTCCATTTTTCCTCACTTCCCCCTTCATAGCACCTGTCCCCTTCTCTGTTACTCCTCTACCTATCTCTCTGGTCCCCTTATTTTCTAGTTTCTGGAATTACTCCAAGTTATATACTTTATATCCAAAGATTTGGATCTGGGATGGACAAAAATGAGAGAACACATGTCATTTGTCTTTCTGAGTCTATATCACTCAGTATAATACTTTCTACTTTCATTCATTACTGCAAATTTGTAATTTTGTTTTTGTTTATATCTGAATAGAATTCCCTTATGTATATGCATCATATCTTTATTATCTACTCATCAGCTGAAGGACATTTAGCTTGTTTCCATTCCTTAGCTATTGTTAATAGAGCAGCAATGAATATAGCAGAGCAATTTATCTCTGGAGTAGAATGTTAAGTCCATATTTCTGAAGAAGAAAGTTGTAGAAGACCCTAAAGATGGAAAGACATCCTGTGTTTGTGGGTTGGCAGAATTAATATTGTGAAAGCAACCATCTTACCAAAAAGCAATCTAGACTCAATGTAATCCCAGCCAAAATCCCCAAAATGTTCTTCACAGAAATAGAAAATTTCCTAAAATTCATATGAAAACATAAGACTTCAGATAGCCAAAGCAATCTTGAACAAAAAGAACAATGCTGGAGTGATTACAAGCTATATTACACAACCATAGTAATGAAGACATCATGGTACTTGGCGCAAAAACAGACATGTAGACCAATGGAACAAAATATGAGACCCAAATACAAGTACGCATAACTATTGCCATATGATGTTTGATAAAGATGTCAAAAATGCATACTGGAGAAAAGATAGCATCTTCAACAAGTGGTGCTTGGGAAACTGCATGTCCACATTGGAGAAGAATGAAACTAGACTTATATCTGTTATCCTGCATGAAAATCAACTACAAATGATCAAAGATCTCAAAGGGAAACATGAAATGCTAAAACTTTTAGAAGAAAAAATACATAAGTAGCCTATAAGATATAGGTGTAGGAAACCCCAGAGAAGCTAGAACACTGTTTCAGAAACAGATGGAAGCAGATGCAGAAATCTACAACTTGCCATTGGACTGAGCTCCTGGAGTAAAATCAAAATGAGGGAGGAGTGATAATATGAACAAAGGAGTCAAGACCATGATGAGGAAACCCACAGAAACATTTTACCCAAGCTAGTGAGAGATCACTGACTCCAGTCTGACAAATGGGGAACCTGCATAAGAGCAAACTAGACTCCCTTATTATAGGTGACAATGATGCGGCTGGGACAATATATGAGGTCACTGGCAGTGGGTCCAAGATCTAACACTAATGCACAAACTGACTTAGTGGAGCCCATTCTATATGGAGAGATACTTTGTCCAGTTTGGCGGGAAGGGAGGGCCTCAAAGAGATGATAGGAGCTGGAGGGGGGTGTGAGGAGAGGAGGGAGGGGAACTGGGATTGGAATGTAAGAAATAAATTAATTTGAAAAAATAGGTGTAGGAAAGGACTCACAGAATAGGACTCTATTCCCTTAGGAATAAGACCAACAATGGACAAAGCAGACATCATAGAATTAAAACGGTTCTATATAACAGAAGGCACAAGCAAGTGAGAGGGAAGCCTACAAAGTGGGAGAGAGCCTTTGCATCTAATCATCTGGTAGATTACTATTCAGAATATACAAAGAAATTTTTAATAAAAAACAAATAACCTAATTTAAAAATGGGTTACAGATTCAGAGTTCTCAAAAGAACTATAAATGGCTGAGAAATATCTATAAAAGTGTTCAATATCCTTAGCAATTAGAAAAAAATGCAAATTAAAACTACTTTGAGAGTCAGAATGGCCAAACCCAAGAAAACAAGTGAGAACAAATGCTGGCCAGGATGTGGGAAGTTGAAACCTCATTCACTTATAGAGGGATTAGATTACAAACTGGTGCATCTTAAAAATCAGTGTGGAGATTTCTCAAAAATCTAAAAGTAGATCTACCATCCAACACAGCTATACCACTTTATTCACCCTTAAAGTATTCACAGATTTCCTCACCCCTTTGAATAAAAGAAATCTCATGAAATAGGCTGGAAGTAAACAAGTGACTTTCACATTCAGGCTTTTGGGGTTTCTTTCTGTTTCCTACAGGCAGTGTTAAGCCTAAGATCCTGAAATAGGAAGAGGTCTTGTTTCCCCTCATAGAATATCAGGGTAACCCAAACTCTATAGGGTTATGGGAGCTAGCAACCAAAGAAATGTTCTGTCTTGTGTCCAAGTGGTAGGCACTTGTAGAAAAATGCAAACAATAGAAGATGGTAAGGAACCAGTTGGTTGTCCAGTGTCAGTGGTAAGCTCTGAAAAAATACATACATTATATGGAGTAAGCAGATCATATTTAGGAATATATGTATGCATATATATATATGCATGTGATAACGATTAGTGAAAAAAGGCCATGAATTTGGAGGAGAGCAGAGTGGGTATATGGGAGGGTTTGGAGGGAGGAAAGGGAAGGGGGAAATGTATACATTTTAGTCTCAAAAATATTTAATTTTAAAAAGGTAATGTGTACATATGAAAATAGTACAAATGGTCAGTCTTCCATTCCATCTGTGCTGACTAGTTTTATATCTATTTGACACAAACTAGGGTCATTTGAGAAGGAGTCTTAAATGAGAAAAATACCTAGATAGAATCAGCCTGTAGGCAAGACTGGGAGGTATTTTCTTAGTGACTGAATGTAGGTGGTGCCACCACTGGGCTGGTTTAAGAAAACAAGCTGAGCAAGCCATGAGCAAAGCAAGCCACCAAACATCACTCTTCTGTGCTCCTACATCAGTTTCTACCTCCGTGTTCCTACCTTGAGTTCCTGGCCTGACTTCCACAGGTGATGAAATATACACTGTAAGATGAAATAAACAATTTCCTCCCCAAGTTGTTTGGTCTTTTTTTTTAAATTACAATAGAAACCTTAACAAAGATGCCATCCATTCTTAAAGAGAAACTGAGGTGTATAATTAATCTAAGAATGCATATATCTATAGATGAAAGAAATGGAAATCTAAACATTAGCTATATACATCTTATTTACTAAATGAATGTCTTTTATTTCCTCCTCAACAGCTAATGTAAATGTAACTTTACACGGAGTCATCAGCCAGAGTTTGGCTCCACTACCAAGGTGCTGTAAACTTTTTCTAGTGCTCTTAATCAAACCCAGGGCCTCACCCATATCTCACAAGTGCTTCACCAGCTCTGCCAACATGATTTTTAATTTCTTTAATATTGCATTTATGTGTATGTGTGTGCGTGTGCATGCCAGCATGCCACTACCATGATGAACACATGGAGGTCAGAGGTCAATTTGGGGGTGATAAGTTCTCTTCCTCAAGGTGGGACCCAGGGATAGAACTCAGGTTATTCAGACTTTATACCAAGCATCCTTTACTGTCTGAGCCATCCTATCAGCCCAAAGATGGTTTTTAAAATAACAATTAGCACCCGTGAAAACCCCTCACGGCGTGTGATCGTGACCACAGTCTCTGGTTACATCCACAAATGTGAATGGACAAAGTCCAAAGTCGTGCATTTCTTCCATGAGAGCTTCCTATTGTCCCAGTCAAATACAATGTTTCGTGAGAGCCTTCAAGGGAGGGACTTGTAGAGGGTCACATGAACGCAAACAGAAGAGCACGGTTTTAAAAGGAGATCAGAGTGCACCGGCTTACTGCAGTTTGTATCAAAGACCCATGGTTGGAGAGCTGGTTTCCAGAGCGGTGGTAGAACTTCCGCTGGACGTTGGGACTTTAGGGCACTTGTACCCATCGGCCTTCTCTGCCCGTCCCCCCATGCTTGGTCACCACTGAAGTGTGCAGCACTGTTCTACCTTGTGCTTCCGGCACCGTGCTGCCACAGGTCCAAAGAGGTCACGAGACCATGGAATTATGCCAGAGTTAACTGTAAGCTAATATGAACCCTTCCTCCTTATACAGCACACTTTCTCTGGTATTTTGTCACAGTGACGAAATCTGACTGACACACTACTAGAACCGGGGAGTAGTCGTCCGGGCTTTCTCTTCTTTTGTCTGATATCCCCAGACCTGTTCCCACCCCAACCTCACCCCATCGCAACATGAGCAGATATTCATATGATCTATTAATCTTCTTTACCTCTCAATTGTAGGCAAAGGCCGTTCTCCTTAGCCACTCTGCCCCTACTAAGTGACTGCTGCAATTAAACAGTCTACCGCATTTGTACCAGTCTTTTGGTTCGGGCTTGGCATCAATATTTTTTAAGGACTATCCAGTTCCTATTCTTACCCTTTCTGACAACCTGCCTATGGACCTCTTCCCCCAGAGTTAAAAACAACCCAAGCCAGAGCTCACTCACCGAAGAGTCGCAGCCTTGCCTGCTACAGGTGCCTTTTCACTCCTTGCCACTTTACCTTCCTCCTACCCGCTGACTTCATCAGAGTCCTGTCAAGAGACATGAGCTATAATGCAGGAACTGGTGGAAGCCAGGTGGCCATTGAAATGACACCTGCAGCGCTCTCACACATGAATAGTCACCTGTACTGAAAGACAGCATAAACCCTGTAGGGTCTCTCAGAACCGAGGCAGTGATCTGAAGTGCTTGGGTTGCAAGCAAAAGTGTGGAGGTGGGGTGCGGTGGGGGTACATGTGAATAGCAACAGGTTTGGGCTTCTTTCCTGTACTGTTGTGATTTCCTGTTGGCACAATTTGGGTGCACAGGTACAGGTCTAGGCACAGATAGGCTCTTCCTTCACCAGAAAACAGTCTAGGCCGTGCTCATATTCTAAGCCTTGGTTTGACAGCAATGCTCCAGTGTCTGTTTCTGGCTGTATGTTCTCCCCCCCCAGCCCCGTGTTTGTGTGTGTGTGTGTGTGTGTGTGTGTGTGTGTGTGTGCTCGTTCATGTGTGTACAGCCCTAACACTGGCCGAAAAGACCATTCTGGCAAGACTGCAGCTGTGAATTAAGCTGACAGTGACCTAAAGGCTCCAATGCACTTTCAGCTAGGAGCTGCTTCCTGTCTTCATCCTAATCAAGGATTTCCGAAGGGGAAAGAAGGGAATACAGAGTCCGACAGATGTAGCTTGCTCTGCGGTTTTCTGTCCAAGAAGATGGATGGTTCTGGCCTCTCGATATTCCTGGAGGACCAAGCCGACAGCAGCAGAACCTACTGTGGAGGATGGGAAGTGCGTGGGGAGCCTTAGGGCGTGAGAAGAATCAGGCTTTGGCGAAGGGTCCCTAGCGGTGTGGAGGGAAAGGAAGAGTGTCTTGCTTCGTACTTTCCCGGAGGTTGGCTGGACCAGAGTTTTTTGTTTCGGAGCTTAGAGCCGTTTCCAGTGTGGTTGGACGTGGTGGGAATCACCCACCCTCTATGGGTAGGGTACTCAGAGTCCTCGGATGGCTGGGGCGTCTCTGGGGCCAAGTCCCGCGCCTCCTACCGGTGCCAGGTACGAGGGATGTACTCCACTGCGTGCCCACTCGCGACGGCTCTGGGAGCTCCTGCCGTCTGTCTGTCAACCACAGCAGGGGCCTTCCCTGGCCGCAGCCTCGTTCCCTGGACGATCCCACTGCCTCAGGCCACGCTGGAGCCGGCAGCAGCCTCCACAACCACCACCACCATCACCACCACCACCGCACTTGACGACCGCCAACTTACAGGTCGCCAGAGCGTCTCCCGGCCAACGCTCGGCTGTAAGCGATAGGACAGCGACTGAGGGGCGGAACCACGTGGTGGGCACCTCCCACGGCCTCCGAAAGTCCTGGTGCCCCGACAATTGGGTACGGACTACGCCAGTCACAAGCTAGTGGACGCCCCGCCCTACGGGGGCTGTCCCGAGGCAGACCCCGCCCCCCCGCGACCCCGCCCCCCCCAGGAGCCTAGTCAGCGCAGCGCGGCGATCCGCCTCATTCGCTGAGCGGTCTGTGAATTGTCAGCGCGCTCCGGGCGACTGCTGAGCCGGGCGGTCGCCGGGCTTGCAGGAATCCCCGTCAGGTGCCCACTAGATCCAATGAGCCCAGGTCTCGCGGGGCGCAAGCAGCAGGCGGTTCGGAGCAACTTGGGACCGAGGATCTGCAGCAGGGGCGTGGATTGGGCGTCAGGACTGGGCCAGGAGGGTGAGTGGCCGCGCCGTACAGGCGGCTCCTGGGCGCCGCTTTGCCAGCGAGCAGGGGACCGCGTCGGTGTTAGTGGGTGGGAGCGTGGCGGCCGTGGGAGGGCAGGGGACACTCTCTCGCTGCCGGCGTCCGGGCTTCCGAACTTCTGGTTTTCAAAGCATCCCAAACTCGGCCCGGGACGCGGCTGTGCGTGGGTACCGACTTGGCTTTGGTGGCTGTCACCCTTAGGTCCGGGGCGCGCCCCTGCCCCTCTGCGGCGGTCACACGGCCCTCAGGGACGCCTCGGTGCGCGCACACCAGTTCCTAGATGGCTGTGACTGGTTTCTAAACATTAACCGGCGCCCGAGCCGGCGAGCGCAGCAAGCGCTGGTCGCGTTCTGAGTGAGAATTGGAGGGACCCTCCGGGGACCTTAGCAGGCCCCTTCCCAACTCTGCAGATTCCAGGAAATTGACAGCAATACTGAACGTTAAAGTTTGGGAAGTAATTGCTTCCGGTCAGCCCTTGGATCTGCGCCCCTCTTCCTAGGGTGCTCAGACCCCCGCATCCACCACACGGTGTCTGAGGAACTTGGTTCGGACCAGCAGGGAGCTGAAGACAGGCTGCGAGTCTGCCACCCTGGTGTGGTGGTGTTTGTTTAAGTGTGTTTGCACCTGTGTGTTTAAGCGATGAAGTTGGGACAAGAACTGACAACGGAGGATTCAAGGTTAAACCTGACACTTGGTTTGTGACTTAACCTGGGTTGCATTTTTTTTTCTTCTTCTTCCTTCCCTCTCTTTGTGGTAAAATGCTGCCTTGGTTTCCTGAGTGCAGTTGCATAAAGCTTATACTCTGTATGGACTGAATAAAATTCAAGGCAGTATTGTCTTGTCATTCTTATTTGATATGAATGAAAGCTCATTAAGAGTACTAGAGATAGTTGGATCAGAAGTTGGGATATTTTAAAATATGCAAAACATTGATTACGTAGTAGATGTGAGTGTACACACATATACACATATCTGAGCGTGTGTGTGTGTGTGTGTGTGTGTGTGTGTGTGTGTGTGTGTGTGTGCAGGATTGATAGGGGAATGAGGTAGAAATATATGAAGGATTGACTCAGTCTTGAACTTCCTCTGGATTCCAGAGATGAACCCTCTTAGCTATGAGGTATGTGACCGTGTATGTGTAAGCATGTCTGCATCTGTCTGGTCTGTCTGGGTCAGTATATGGCCATGAACTTTACGAGCACTCAGTTCAATACCACTCAGTGCAGATTCCATGCTCCTGTTTACAGCCCAGCAGCCGCCAGCCAGCCCATCTGTTAAAACATAGCATGTACACTTCAGCCAGAGAATCGAGTGAATCATGACTAGGGGGCAACCCTTAGCAAAACAGCATGCTACAAACAAAGCCTTCCTCTTCTATTTTCATCCACTATTTGGCCTGAAGTTGCAGTTTTATTGAGGGAGCTGAAGGGAATGCTGTCTCTAGAAAGGGGAGACTGTATTTTCTGATAGAGCTGTATCCATAATTTGAGGAGGGGGAATTACAGGAGAAAAAATAATCCCCTGAGAAGAAATGTGGTTGTCATGTTGCCAGTAAGGTTGGTTTACAGTCTTGCAGTAACACATATATCACAAACTGTTTTATTTTGCTTCAGAGAATGCACTAAAAATAAATTGTTTTGAACACACACATATATATACAAACATGCTCACACACACTTTAATAGAAGTAAATAGAACTTTGTTGCCAAGGCTGAAATCAAGATTGCCTTAGTAATTCCAATGAAGCATGCCTTTAGGAATTTATACCCTGGAAATAAGTTATATTTGCCCTAATCACTAGTAACAATGGTTCACAATTTGTAGTTTAAAAATAGTAAAAAGGATTTATCATAAAATTTCTCGTGACTAAAAAGATATGGGAGGAGTATTACTACAACAGCTTATTAAGTTTCTAAAGGCCAGTGACTGATACTTTAAAATGCTATAAATTCCTTTAATAGTATAGTTACTTTTAATGACAATAAGAACAATACTTTCAAGAAGCATAGTTGATCTTTTTCACAATAATTCTATGTTCTTAATTACATTTTAATAGTGGTGTTCATTATAAACTGAAGAGGTTTTAAAAACTCATCACAAGAAGTATTTCCATTTTATGGTACATAAACATTTGGGAGAAAATATTCAAATCACTAATATATATTTCTAAATTTGTACCTTCATTTCTAAGCACTCAAGACAAGTTCTATTACAAGGGACCTCTTGAACATATTCCAAGAAATACTGTAATGGTGTCTATGGTATAAAATAACATGATCTGTGAGTTGACTTCACAATTGATTATCCAGAAATTTGGTATTTACTGACCTTATAAAATTGATAGTTATTAACTTTCTCCTCAACTATGGGCCTCTTTTGTCTTGAGCCTGTAATCTTCCTTTTGAGGAAATCTTCTTGGAGAAACAAAATAAAGTTAATAGTTCTCCTCAGCCTTGGTTCCTCCATTACCTTGTATCAGAGATTCCTGGATGTTGTGAGGTGTTTTGGCCAGTTCTAATCGACATTGTTGACCATTTTTCCCTGAAGGATGCAAAGAAAGCCTTTTTGTCTGTGTGATAGGACAGAAGCATGCACAAGTCAAGGATAGTACAGACTTAACCAGAATCAAGTGTTTCCTTAGGAAACTGTAGCTACTTCATTGACCAGCCACCATAACACTCACATTCTAAAAGTTACCTTGGATGTATTTCAAGCTGTCCCATTACCACAGCGCTAGATTAAAAATTGATTGCTACCTGTATTCTTACTGAAATTGGCGTTAGTTCTTATTTACAAATATCACTGATTGGTTTTCTTTATTTACCTTCTGATCATTGCCATGTGTGTTCTGTGCTCTGTTTTTCTATTTCATAAAATTCTCCATATTATACTCTTAGGTAAGTTTTGAAAGAGAATAGATCTCTATCAGAAGTTGCCCTCTCTCCCATTCAAGTTAATAAAAAAGAAAAAGACTTCACAGAGGTCAGAAATGTTGAGCATATTTACTTCCTTGATGACAAAAGGATGCAGATAGGTTGAGACACTGAACTCATATCATTCCAGATCATTGGATCATCACGGAGACATTTACAGAGCAATTTCTCTTAAGGGGAAGGCTTGGCATTTGATAGGTCACTTAACAATCTTTGAAGGACAATGATTTTTTCCCACTTAGTTTCAGATGAACAAACAGCAGCCACAAAAGGATAATACTTGAATTCTGGCTCTCATGTTTAAAGATAATAGCAATAAGTGAGATGATGACCTTACACTGAGAGCTGCCTTTGTTTAGTTTGTGATGCTTTTGATTTTTTTAACCATTGTCTTTCCATTTTTCCTGTTATTAGATTTGACTTTATAAGTTTTCCTTATAAAGTTAGTCAGCATATATGATAATTGTTTAGATGACCCTGAGCTTAACCAGCCAACCTTGACATGGAAGGCTAATAATTTACTAAAGGTCACAGAGCACAATTGGGGACAAAGCTTACATGGGGAATTCTTTGGACCAGCATTTTAGCACTATTTTTTTATATTGTCCTCCAAAGATTGTTAAGTGACCTATCAATATATATATATATATACATGTATATGTATATATATAATATTATTGTATATTGGTTTTTTGAGACAGGGTTTCTCTGTATTTTTTCTTCCATTATTTTTATTACATTTTTTTAAGAAAAGAGCTTGCTTCACATGTCAATCCGAGCTCCCTCCCTCTCCCTCCCCTCCTCCCACACTCCCCCCACCCCCACCCCCAGCTTCCCACCCAATCCCCACTTCCTTCCACATAGGGGATATCCAGAATCTGTCATTTCACTCAGGGCAGAGTCCAGGCACTCCCCCAAGAGTCCATAGCCTTGCACTATTTTTGTCTACTGTCATGTTATACTAATACTACTGTTTTTTACACTAGCAAAATTGTTACTTACATTCCATTTTTTCCAAGTTTCTGCATGATTTGATTGATTTAGAGTGGCTGTAAAACCTGAGGTGTATCACAACCCCAGACACACAACAGCATTGACTTCTGCCCATTTTAAACAAACAGGCACACGGAAGGAAGGAAGGAAGGAAGGGAGGAAGGAAGGAAGGAAGGAAGGAAGGAAGGAAGGAAGGAAGGAAGGAAGGGAGGGAGGGAGGGAGGGAGGGAGGGAGGGAGGGAGGGAGGGAGGGAGGGAGGGAGGAAGGGAGGGAGGGAGGAAGGGAGGGAGGGAGGAAGGAAAAGGAAAGAGAAAACAATCAGCTGCAGTAGAATGCTGCCTTTCTTGAAACTGGGTCATAGGTCATTACAAACTTCTATGCAACAATTTTTTTTTTAACCATGGCATATTTTTGGTATCTAACTTTCATTTGACAAATTATTTTCAAGTGTTTGACCCTTTTTCCTTCACCTTTATTCCCATAGTGAAATCATCTAAAAGAAAAAAAGGGGGTTCACTTTTCAAGTCAATCTGCTCTCTTAACAACTCCTAATGTATAAATTTTAACCATTTTAACTGTTCT